TTGTTTAGCTGGATGTCTGCTCAATGGCCTCACTTGCACTCTTGATGTTGGTGGCATGACAGGCTGTGAGTGATTTCATGGCATGTTTAGCTGGATGTCTGCTCAATGGCCTCACTTGCACTCTTGATGTTGGTGGCATGACAGTGGGTGAGTGATTTCATGGCATGTTTAGCTGGATGTCTGCTCAATGGCCTCACTTGCACTCTTGATTGTTGGTGGCATGACAGGAGGTGAGTAATTTCATGCCATATTAGCTGGATGCCTGCTCAATGGCCTCACTTGCAACTCTTGATGTTGTGGCATGACAGGAGGTGAGTAATTTCATGGCATGTTTAGCTGGATGTCTGCCCAATGGCCTCACTTGCCACTCTTGATGTTGGTGGCATGAAGGTTGTGAGTGATTTCATGCCATGTTCAGCTGGATGTTTGCTCAATGGCCTCACTTGCACTCTTGATGTTGGTGGCATGACAGGAGGTGAGTGATTTCATGGCATGTTTAGCTGGATGTCTGCTCAATGCCCTCACTTGCACTCCTTGATGTTGGTGGCATGACAGGCTGTGAGTGATTTCATGGCATGTTTAGCTGGATGTCTGCTCAATGGCCTCACTTGCACTCTTGATGTTGGTGGCATGACAGGCTGTGAGTGATTTCATGCCATGTTTAGCTGGATGTCTGCTCAGTCCAATACCTTGCACTGTTCACGATGATGGTATGGCAGAATGTAGGTGAATTTAATCCAATGTTGGATCTTTCCTGATTCCCTTGCCTTCCATACTTTGGGTTCCACTTGGCTTGTAGCTTGTAAGTGTTTTCTTACTCTGTTACCCCTGCTATTTGCTACATTTTATGGACTCCCCAAACCACTTTTTATGGCAGAATGTGAGTGGTTGCAGGCTATTTTGCACTGCATATACTGATCATGGTTCGTGTGGTGGTGCCCTTGTTTGTCCTCTTCTATGCCAGGAGGTGTGTAATCTATAGCAGCCCCAACTGGCTACATTTCACATCCATGTATACTTTGGTCATATTTGTCACACATGTGACATTAAAACTCTTAGCTTGTAAGCATTGGCCCAATACCCCTTTTGTCTAAGGCCAACATACAGAGTACCAGTCAACATTTGAAGTCAATTCTGCTGTCCAAATGCCAGCTCTGCCCAAAGATGTCACTTTGCTTGGGGAGGTTCCCAAGTCTCCAGTCAATGGCTGAACATGCCATTGGTAAGTGTTTCCCATTGCCTACACAAGATATACTCACTGCTCTAGGATGCTTGCTTGTTGCTGAGCATTCTTATTTTTTAATGCAGCAAGGGCAACATCTTTGGCAGGAGGTTTTGTCATTGAGTGTGGAGGAATACAACAGGTTCAAAATACAACCTGCCGATTTCAAATGCTGTCAAGGCAGCTTTTCATGACCATAAAGATGATATGGATGCTTTATGTAATGCTATTATCAAGATCATCACTGAGCATCGCATGTGTAAGTGGACATCTTCACTACTTATGGAGTTACCATTCTGAGATGTTTTCAGCAAACATGCTGTTGAAGGCCAATAAAGTTTGAATATGGTCAAAACATTAAGAGTAGCATGTCTAGGTATGGGACTATTTCTTATCATCAATTCATAAGGCATGCTCAATATTCAAAATGCACTGCAAGATACCTGGCATCAGTGTGATGTTGGTGCTTGTCACACATAAACCCATATCTCTGCTGTTTCTTCACTGATTTGAATGTTTGAAGTTTGAAACATTGTGTTTACTTGTATACATTGATGTGATGTAAAAATATGGAATCCAACCAGAGAATGTTTCTGAACCAATGGTAAATACTCCTACATGTAAGTACCCATGGCCAAGGCTATGCTTATGTACAGGTTTCATAAGGTGTACCTTTGTATTTGTTCCAATCATGCTCATTGCTTGCAACAATGCCTCCACCATCAAGTGCACTCAACCCAATGGCTTTAAACCCTGCTGCAAGATATTCAGGTCATAGTGTGATAGCTTTTGAGGTTGTCATGTGTTTGGAGACCAATTCATCTGAGCCAGTCCAATGCCTAGAAGAGTCTGGACCAGAGTTGGCAACCCTGGTGACCATCACTGCTTAGTAGCTGCAACCCAGCACTCCCAAATTCTGTTTCAAAGTCAGTTGTCATGAGGAGAGTGTAACAAATGCCCTTTCGGATCTGAGGACGAGCACAATTATTCTCCGGTACAAAGACGTGTTGTTCGCACGATGGGACCGGTCCAGACGTAGGTCCGTCCGAATACGGGTACAAAAAAACGGTTGAGTTGACGGAGACAGACTTACCGATCTGATGTCGTACGCCGTCGTCAATGCCAATGCCTCCTCGAGATGATCGGGATGCGTAAACGGCAAAGGGCCACTTGGAAACATCGCTTCTGAATAGCTTCGCACGAGAGCGTGTAAGCCGGGAAAGCCGAGCTGTGATGAGGAGGGCGCGCGAAGGATCGAAGCGACATGATTGGAGACTTCAATGATAGAGGGCTGTGAGGAGGAAGGGGGGAGTTCAATCGTCAATATAACACCTGATATCGAGCCATGGTTATTGCAACGTAGACACTGAAATACGCTCACGTATCATGCAATAGATGTTCCAGTAATGACACGAATTCTTCCACCCGGACGTCAAGTCCAGGTGGGACTGTCACTTGTGATATTCACGAGCTATCCGACTCGACTGACTCCCCTTCATCTGTACCCGGGCCTTTGAGCACGCGACCAAAGTATGTCGAGTGTCGAGCGAGCAGGCTCGAATGTAGTTTGAATAGAACTGTGTCTTCCTCCGGGTCACGATTGCTGAGTGTCCAATGGATAGTGACGATGACGGACCCGTCGTCGAACCAGTACGTGGCGTGCCGGTCACCTCGGATTGCTATTCCATTAGATAATGGCATACCCCTCGACGTCCAAGATGGTCAGATAATGATGCGAACCGACAAAGCCAGATCAGTTTATGATTACGCAAGGGAAGTCCGTACTATGTAGCAGAATGCCAGCCAATGATCAATACAGTACTTTGCTGAGTCTCTGCAGGGAATTCAACAGTACATCCCCCTGCTTGACCACTTTCTCATACTGTGCCGTCTTGATCGACGGTCTTGTCGTCTCCACGATCCCATGCACATTATCGATCGTGCAATGCAACCGCCCATTTGCAATGAACCGCGAGAGTTCCCTACGCCAGTCCCTTCAGTACATCCTACCAAAAAGAAAAATCGACCCACCTGTCGATGTAGTCAACGCTCACGCCAAACGCGCCACCGAGACTCTCCAGCGTCACGCTCCGATACGATTCCAATAGTTGCGCATAGGCGAGGATACGCATTTCGCGCACGTAGTATCGAGCGTGGCTGTCGACAGAACCCCATCATAGTGGACAGCGTAATAATTCCATGAAAAGAAAAAGTTGACGTCAGTTTGTGTGGGTTCATTGATAAGGATTGCGGTGAGAGCGTACCTAGCGCTACGAAAAATTTTGCGTAGTGGCAGTCATAGAGATTCCGCAGAAGATCTTCCAAAACAGGCAGTTCTGGAAGAACCGAGATGACTTCAGGAGAGGCAATGAGCTGGGTGGAAGCAGCGATGATGAGTGACATGTAAACCACGCCACAAAGTAGACGGATCGCCCACCTTTTTCTTCAAGTCTACCCTTGGGAGGGTAAGCGTATTGCTGATCACGGCGAGTGCAACGAAGTCATTATAGGAGATGAGTTCCGTAGCAGTAAACGTGGACAGAGCATCGAGCAACAGCTCGCTGCCCAATCTAAACTGCCGAATGGAAACTGCGTGTAAGCCACGATACACTTTGAGACGATTCCGTCTGTCCCAATCACCCCCTTCCTCGATGAGTCTGCCCAAATCACATGAGTGAGAAAGAAATGGTTAGCGTCCGTGGACCCACTTTTCCGCCCCGGCAAGGTTCTCGGTGATGAGGGTATTATCTCCAAAGAAGAAACCTATTCGGATGAGAGTCAGGGTAATGTCTATCCTTGACCCAAGGCCTGGTGTTTTCTCCAAGGCAAGTCGTTGGGCTGCGACAGCCGCATCCTACATACATTCCCCATAAACTCGGGATTGCAAACCGAGGATCACCTGGGATATACCTTGTCACCTATGCCGAGTGAGATGGTTCGCCCTCGCCTTCAAGGCGTCCGATATTTCAGATTCCCCCTCTGTCTTCTGGGCTTCAGCCAGACGTTCATCCAATTTCTTGAGTTGCTCTTCGTTTGCCTTTTCCATGGATTCGAGGAGATGCCGGGATCGACGTCTATCCCACTAGAAGAGGTGAGCGCCCAGACTAGTAGGGGGCCATGTCTACACCGATATGAGCCAGCGTATTTGATCGTTAAGATGTCTACACACTGTCTGCCTTGATGCCTTCCAAGAGCGATTTGCGTGCGACATCGTGTAGATGGACCCAGAGAAGGGTCTATAAGCTGTAAACAAGGTGTTGTGGGAGGCTGAGATTCGGTATGGGCAGGACAGTGTCGTCGGCCATGGCTAGGTTGCTTGGAAGTAGGAGGAACGCATCAGTGCCCGGTGCTAGTAGTCCCACGACGGACGTGTCACCACAACCACCACAACCACCACCGCCATGACCACCAACCAAGCACTGCTGGACGAAGCCAAGAATACCAACCCAGCACGGGCGGAAGAGATTTACAAGCAAATCCTCGTCTCATCAGGTTTGTCACTTGTGTTCGATGCCATCCAAGCTACCCATCACTCCATCCCCAACAGCCTCGCCGTCCAGTGTCGAGAGAGATCAGGTACTGCGAGACCAAGGAAATGCCATGATCAAACTTGCAGAACTATACCGGCATCAGAGGTGAGCCCACCTGCCGATTCCTCCTTGTCACAGTCGCCCTCATGGACGAGCAGAAATGCACAAGGGTTGGCAGAGGTGATCACCCTCTCGAGATCGTTCATGTCGTCCACCGCGAAAGCCAAAACTGCAAAACTCAGTGTGTCCCATTGCTCCAGTTCCTGCACCGAACCTCACGTTTACCCATGTAGTTCGTACCCTACTCAATTACTTCAACGACATACCCAACAGTCGTCAGACCCAAATTGACGTTCTACTGGATAACATCGACTGGTCGAAACGCGAGAAACGGATATTCCTCAAACACAGCTTGGAAATCCGACTCGTCTCGCTGTGAGTCTCTCCATACATATATGCCTGTGCATGTATTTCTCATACCCACTTAGCCAGCTGGAAGTTTCGCAATTTAATGCTGCTCTGACACGGATAGATACGCTTCTTACTGAACTCAAGAAACTGGATGACAAGATGATCCTCACCGAAGTCCATCCCCTCGAGAGTCGTGTCTATCGCGGCATCGGAAACTTGGTAAAAGCAAAGGTACAGTTCTTCCTTGCTTCCGGAACACTGCTCACCCGACTCGACTATTCTAGGCTGCCCTCACATCAACTCGGACGGCTGCTAACTCAATATACTGCCCACCACATTTACAAGCAGCTCTCGATTTACAATCTGAGATTCTTCACGCAGAGGATAGAGATTACACCACTGCCTACTCCTACTTCTACGAAACGTTTGAGAACATGTCGTCTCAAGATGACCCGAGCGCACTAAATGCATTGAAGTATATGCTCCTATGCAAAGTCATGCTGAATCTGGTGCATATCTTCCACCATCAACTGGTCCCAGACTCACCTGTCTCGCAGCCAGAGGACGTCACCACTCTTTTATCTGTCAAACTGGCGGTGAAATATGCTCAACTGCGTGAGATCGAATGCATGCGTGCGATAGCGCTTGCCCACCAAAACCGTAATTTGGCTGAATTCGAAAAGGTGCTATTGCGTTTCCCCTTCGATGTGCGTCGCGTCTCGCTCATCCCTGACCATCATGTTGGGCAGAACTCTTGTCGGGCCCCACGATCCGATCGCACCTCGCGGCGCTTTACGACCCACTTCTCGAACAGAACCTGTTGCGCATCATCGAACCTTATTCGGTCGTCGAGATCGACAGGACGTTGAAGCGAAGTGAGTTTTTTCACCATACACGATGTACTCGTAACGCATTCACCCATGTTTTGTCTATAAAGGCTGTCCCAGATGATACTGGACAAGATGTTTTATGGCGTCCTCGATCAAGGAAAGGGACGTCTATTAGTTTTTGACGAGCCAGAAGTAGACGTAAGTAGTGCTCCCCTGCAGTGGCCACGTCACGTTGCTGACTTTTCTATTGATAGGATACGTTTGGTACTGCAATTGATACACTGGAGCAGGTTGGGAAGGTCGTGGGATCGTTATATGCGAGGGTGAGTTCGTTTTGGTTTTGTGTATATAATCGTTGACGGAATTTGTGTAGACGGTCAAGATTGCAGAGAGGGTCGTGCTGTAGTACTAGTTCTAGCATGTAGCAGACCATCCGGGCGGGCATACTCGGAGAGGGTGAATTTCGAGTCTCATCACTGAGGGCAGCTGGCTAATTTCTGCTCCAGTACATTGCGCCACGGTCGACTCTGTACCCACAACCACCGCAGGGCTTTTTATGTTCTGGGCGCTTGTAAAAAAATGTTGGACTATATAATAAACCACGAAAACGAACCTGAACTGCCTCCAGCTGTCATCGCCCTACGACGACGATGGCCTGGTCGTTCCTTGAGGACCCACACACATCTTCGGTGTCCCACCCGTAGCAGAGAGACGCTCGTTCGACACGTTCACATTCTTCGCGTACATCGTACCAACGTGCCTCTCTTACTATGTCGCTGCCGTCCTAGTCATTCTCCCCGCAACGCGTGTGTTGCGCGTCGCACTGTGGCCACTCGTCGCCCTCTTGGCTTTTCGAGCTACCATGGAGATCGGTTTCACAGGCGGGGATCCTCAGAAAACGTTTCTCAACGTTGATATTGCGGTATGCTCCACTGATGTCATGTCTCGTTCTTCTGACACTGGGTGGTACCCGGTCCGTGTAGCTCATTGTGTTCTGCTTCGTGGTCCGCACGCTCGAATGGACAACTGCAAAAGATCCACTCAAGCGACATCTCCAGCCTGCTGGTTCTTCCCCTTCCATCTTCATGGACGCGCTGGACCTCTCCACAAACGTCCGCGGTGTCGGTTGGAACTGGTCCAAAAGCCTTTGTTTTCCTCCGGACGCACGTCCCTTCTCGCGTAGATGGTTCATAGTATATGTCTTACTCTCCACTTGGTACTACAGCGTTGTATGTGGTGCATCCCACCTTGCTACGCAAGCATTTTCGCCCGGGACCTTCACTGTTCTAACTGGAGGCACGCTCTTCGATGCGACACTTCCTCCTCTTATCCGATATGTTCGATCCATTATCATCACTGCCTTCGCCGCAGTTGCCATCTTTGCTGTTATGCAACTAATATATGACGTTGCTACGCTCATTGGTGTCATCGTGTTTCGGCAAGACCCTGCACAATGGCTACCTGTATTTGACAAGTCGTGGGGGGCAGACTTCCCACGCGACCTCTGGGGTTATAGGTGGCATCAACCGTTTCGGCGGACATTCGTCGTCGTCGGATGACCTCTTGGGATCGCGTTCGGACGTATGGGATATGTGCTGGGATCATTTCTCGCATCGGGGGTAGTCCACAACATCGTGGTAGTCATGTTCAATCAAGATGTCCAATGGTGGTGCATGCTCCTCGCGTTCAGGATGATGGCCGTTGGTGTTCTCCTTGAGCACATGTTCACGCGGATGACGGGGAAGGAAGCGGGTGGGTGGATTGGGAGAGTATTGTCGATGGCTTGGTTATTGGCGTGGGGATGTATCATGGTGGATGGGTTCGCGCGAGCGGGGCTGCTTGCATCAACAGCCTTGTTGGATACTGCGTGCCCTGTCAAAGGGATCGTGGATCCCTGCGATGGCGTTGGATAGGTGGTGGAGGGAATGTGCATCATAGTGTGCTCTGCTTTCCCTGTACTGTGACATCGGGCTACCTGCCTTCTGTATGTGCATGATCCAGCTATAGACCCGCCGAATGTCTGTTGTACACGACTGGTGTAGCTCTAATTACCCCTCTCTTGACTCTTATGAACCATGGATGGGAGATGGTGTGTCGAGTGGTCATATTTCGTCTTCTCAGTCTCCGTTTGGGAGGGATTTTGCTGGCTTCCCTTCCGAGACTCATCACCGGCACATGCATCGGTTTTAGTGTAATTCAGCTTGCTGTATGAGCGTTTCCGCCTGAGACTTGCATCGTTCCTTTGACCCCACACTTCCCCCTCTGATCCGACACATCCAAGCCAGTGTCCGCACCTCCCCCTCCCCTCCCAGCTCCACCTGCCCCCGTCAGCTCGTCTCGCTCCAACACCAACACCCTCCCGCCTCTCAATCTGCCAAATTGCATGACTCCCTACCTTCACTCGTCTCCACTGCCATCCTGGCCCACGTCCCTCCATCGAACTTCCAGCTCTTGCGAAGACATCCCACATCTGGCCCACTCCACCCACGACAACAATACCCCTCTTCGCTTTCCATCCACCAAATCACACCTGCCCGACAATTCAAACACGAACAACTGCAACAACCTCCACCACAATCTCAAAAGGACAGCGATGATAACATGCCAGCGACCAGTGACTTCCTCAAGAAACTGTACAAGTACGTCCTCTTCGCGGCCATCCTTCCGATCCACTGCTTACTTGCAATCAGGATACTTGAGGATCAGTCCTTCCCACACATAGTACCATGCGGTCCAAACGGTGGTTGCTTTGTCGTAAAGGTCGGTCTTCCTACTTCTTTCTTGCTCTATCTCTCATCAACCCGTCAGACCTGCTGAGCCACCCATACAATCAATTCAATCGATTCCATCCATGCAGGAACAGATATCTTCCATGCGAGAAACAATCCCTCTCTCGCAAACGATTCCATCTATGTAATCATTCCTGTAGGAATCAATGTCTTCCTTATCGCAAGTGACATCGATGCAACAAATGGTGTCGGCTATGCAGACGGTGCCACCAATGCAGCAGATTCAGTTTTTACCCGTCCATGAGGCCCATCGCGTGCTTGGCTTGGTTGGCGATCATCGGTATCCGGATCCGACCGCGATTGCGAGGGCGAGTTTGGCCCAAATGAATGAGATGTCGAGAAAGGCTGGGGCGTCTGCTGAAGTGACGAGTAATGGTACAGGTTCGGGAAATGGAACCAGACCGGAGGGGACGGATGTGACGAGTGGTGATGCTCCTATTCTGATCCCTCCGGATACATCCTTGGATGGGACAGTCCAAACGGTTCACGAGGGATTACAGGTGTTCACCTTGGGACATTTGCTTCCGAGGAGTGCGCTTGATGCTGCGAATGGAAATTGGACGTATGGTGGGGATATACCTGGTATGCCAAATATGAATGGGGGTAGGAATGGAGACAGGAATGGATGTGCTGATGAAGACGGTGTAGGTGGAATTGGGGATTGTGAAGGGGAGGGGTTCGAGAAAGAGGAAAGTCCAGGTGCTGAAGAAGTCGTGCGACCTACACCCACGAACCCCGGCGTCCGAGAATCTTCATCAGCGACTTCCAGAGCCACGACACCTTCGACTGGCAGTGGACAGAAACTACGAGTCAGGAGGTCAACGTTCGTTTCAGGATGGGCAGTCCCACCATGCGTACTTCTAGTGGACGATGACGCGGTGAGCAGGAGACTGAGCAGCAAGTTTTTGCAGGTATTCAGGTGTGCGATTGACGTGGCAGTGGATGGAGTGGGAGCGGTGAATAGGATGAACTTGGAAAAGTATGATTTAGTGCTGATGGTGAGTTGATCTCTTTACGCGGCAGCGCCTTTGGGGGCCGGCTGTTGACACACTTTGGGTTTTAGGACGTTGTAATGCCGAAGATGGACGGTATATCGGCCACATCGTTGATCCGCCAATTTGATCACGTTACACCTATCATCTCAATGACAAGTAATTCGCATCCGAGCGAGATCATGATGTATTATTCGTCAGGCATGAACGATGTGTTACCGAAACCATTCACCAAGGAAGGGTTGTTGGATATGTTGGAGGTGAGTTCCTTTTTGCACCGTATTTTCTATTTGTGTTGCGTGTGACGTGGCAGGATGGGGCTTACGAAGTTATGGTCTCGTACAGAAGCACCTCATGCATCTCAAGGTCATCCAGGAGATGTCGAAGGTCCCGAGAATACCATGTGCTCTGCGCCTCTCGACAGATAATTCGTTAACGGATGCGCTTGTACCCCCCTCGGCGACCCCTTCTGCTGCTACTACATCGACGTCTTCCACGTCTTCCTCGGGGACGACTATGGCTTATTCTGGGAGGGACAGCGGTGGATTTGGACCCCCGTCGGCATCCACAAACGCAGAGGGTGTAGATAGCAACGGCAACGGTCCGTTGTTCATGGGCAGGGTTGGAACTGACATACGGATTGATCCGCTTGTGGGGATGGGGCTGACTGAGGAACGATATCAAGCGATCCTCAAAGACCTCGTGAACGGCGATAATTTGGGTGTGCCGGAGGGGTTTGGCTTTGATATGATGGAAGAAGAAGGGATTGTCGATGTGGGTGTAGGTCTTAGTGAAGGGATGAGTGGTGGTATGGGTATGGGGGAGAAGAGGGGTTTGGAAGAGGAGCAGGATGGAATAAGGGAGGTGAAGAGGGGACGGTTTGAAGTACTGGATTGAGGCTGACGGTGATCTGCTCCCCTCCTATCTCTTCCTGCCCCAAGTGATTCTAGCCTCGCCCGCCTTTCAACCCGACTCAACCGCCCGTGTCGTGGCATTCCTCCCAATATCTATGGCGATGCCAGCGCCCGCTACTTATGGTCATGTTCCTGGTATTGTCTCACCGGCTCGACATCTTTTCCACTGCATCAAGCTCTCCGGATCTCCTGCTGATCGTCGCGGTTGCAACTAGCCCCGCGAACTTCGTTACTACTTTGTATACCACCGTCGTTCGATTTCAAGCGCGACGTACTAATCCAACCATCACACGTCACACAGTGGTACCCCACTACAACGACCTATTCGCTCACCACGCCAGCATACTCATGACGGCCCACGCACGCATGCACGCATCTTATGACTTGCACATATGCAATCGGTTTTTTTTTTTTTTTCCTGGCTTACTTTTTCATGCTGATGTTTCTTTGCACATCTGTACCCATTGACAAAGTCTTTTTTTCTTTCATGCATGCCTACAATGCTATCTTGTCGTTGCTATCGTATAGGAATTTACTGCGTTGATGAATCGATAATGATAATGTGCAGACGGTAATCTTGGATATATGTAAAAAATACCACAGCTGAATGCCGAGCCTAATACATGGGCGGTGCGTCTGATTCTAATACGTGTATGAAGAACACGTGTATGTATATTTGTAGATCTGTGATCATGACGGAGACCTCGTGGGTATGGATACTCTAACAATGACACGGAGATGCGGTACGCCCTGCAAAACCCTTGAGTGGTACCGAGTGAGGATAGATGTCAATTTCGACTTCAGTTTGGACGTGTACCACATAAAATGATTCAATCTTCGAGGATTGGAGACCCTAACGGTTGGATATGTCTAATCATATAGACTAATCCTCTATTCGAAACAGTAGCATCTATGGAACGGTTCTACCAGAAGCTAGACAGTAAACCGCAAGTGATGGATGAGAAGACACCATATCCACAACCGGGAGATGACAACGAGAATGGAATGGCTGTGGAATCCAAGTGTGTCCCAATGGCAGCTTACTAGCCAAGCCAACGGTCCACCTTTTCCCACACCACAGTCTGCTCCTCTGTCCACTCCTCCCTTTTCTCCTGCACACAGGCAGGACATAATCCCTCAGCTGCCCAATCGAGTTGTTTTATGAATTCCAGGGTCTCGAGAGGTTTGTATACCCCACCATCTGAGATCGCGGAGGGGATGACGAGTGACATCCATTTATCGGCGAACACGTCCGTGCATGCCATATGTGGCGTTGTGGGCTGGGAAAGAAGAGCGTTAAACAGGAGCGAAAGTTGTAGTTAATGGGCGTTCGATGAGGAAGGGGGAGGGGGAATCATTCATTGCGTGCCGCAGTCCGACTGGCGGTTTTGGGTACACACAAGAAACGCACAAAAGATCGCACCTACCGGCGTGAACAATATGGGTGTGAAATGATCCACAATCCCAGCCATCAACCTCCCGCATCTCTCTACATCTGCGGGCGACAGGACACTCTGTTTCGTCTTCGAATCTTCGACGATGTCACCTTGACTGTTCTCCAGATTGTTTTCTCTTGTGTTCACTTTTCCCTGCTCACCTACCTCTACCTCTTCTGTTTCGAAGTCGGTTGTCGTGACGAGGCTGTAATATATGCCCTTTCGGATCTGAGGAGGAACGCGATTATTTTCCGGTATGAAAACGTGTTATTAACACGATGGGACCGATCCAGACATGAGTACGTCCGAATACAGGTATAAAAAAACGGTTGAGTCGACGGAGACGGACTTACCGATCTGATGTCATACGCCGTCGTCAGTGCCAATGCCTCCTCGAGGTGATCGGGATGCGTAAACGGTAAAGGACCACTTGGAAACATCGCTTCTAAGTAGCTTCGGACGAGAGCGTGTAAGTCGGGGAAGTCGAGCTGAGATGGGGAGGACACGCGGAGGATCGAAGCGACCTGATTGAATGGAGACTTTGATGATAGAGGGCTGTGAGGGGGAGGGGAGAGGGGTTCAATTGTCAGTATAACAATTGATATCGGGCCATGGTTGTTGCAACGGAAACACGGGAAAATGCTCACGTATCATGGTATAAATGTTCCAGCAATGACACAAATTCTTCCACCCGTACGCCAAGTCCAGGTGGGACTGTCACCCTTGATATTCGCGAATTATCCGACACGAGCGGCTCCCCTTCGTCTATACCCGAACCTTTGAGAACACGACCAAAGTATGTCGAATGTCGAGCGAGCAGGCTCGAATGCAGTTTGAATAGAACTGTGGCTTCCTCCTGGGCACGATCGCTGAGTGTCCGATGGATGGTGACGATGACGGAACCATCATTGAACCAGTACTTGGCGTGCTTGTCACTTCGAATCGCTATTGCATTGGATAATGGCATACCCCTCGACGTCCGAGATGGACAGGTAACGGTGCGAACCGACACTGAAAGTTACGTAAGCACATGCGTAAGTGAGAAGATAGGCGCCTTGATATCGGAAGGACTTGCTCAATACCACAACGACGGCCTTCACGCTGATCCTCGGCACGTCTTAAAGTCCCATTTTGAAGTACACAGAATCGTATCTTACATTCACATGGCTCCTGGTCGTATCAAGAGGTGGTTCAAGTCGCTCGGCAGTGATTCGCATCGCGCCCGCCAGAGCGATCCAAGTGATATAGTTCCTGCTGCAACTGAAGCTACGGCTGCAGGTATGATATTGTTCTAGCCTACGAAAATGACATGCTTAATATCGGGACACAGAACCTACCGATCTTATTGGTGATGTGGCGAATCCAGTTCCCCCTCAGATTGAGGCTACTCCGCAAGGTATTATTGTCGCTCTTCGTGAAATCCAAGTTGTCTAAGGCGGAGTCGCAGCAACTGCGTCTTCTGGACCTGCTTACCGTCTCAATTCTGAGATGGCTCAAGAATACATGAAAAAAATTAAGCGCTTTCGAATTCTGGTCATGGGCAGAGCGAATGCCGGTAAAACCACCATCCTCCAAAGAGTTTGCAAATCTACAGAAAAGCCAGAGATCTTCGATGGGAAAGGAAACAAGGTATAGTCCTATCGGGTTGGTGAAACCTATCTAACAATTTCAGATGGATGGTGGTGTCGTGCAAGGCACTTTGGAAGTAAGATGCCATGTTGACTCGTGGAAATTGATATTGATGCTGAGTGCTCTCAGCGTGGTGTCCATAAGATTGAGCATGAGCTCGTATTTCGTAGTAACCCAGGCTTCGTGTTCCATGACTCCTGTGGGTTCGAAGCAGGTTCCACCCGACAGTTTGACGAGATGAGGAAATTTGTGGTTGACCATGGAACCACAACGAGGGTGAATGAACGAATCCATGCCATCTGGTAAGGAATACATTGCGAATAACTACAGGCTAAGTAAACAGATGGATGTAGGTTTTGCATCCCCATGACAGACTACCACAGGACAGTAACTGCGGCTGAGCAGAAATTTTTCAATGAGTGTGACACAGGTCATGGTAAGAAAAAGACTTGCACAGAGGATTGCATGTGACTAAACTTCTGCATAGTTCCTGTGATAGTGCTATTGACCAAAGTGGATGCTTTGTACCTCCCTGCACTTAGGGGGTTTCTGGACGAAGGTTTGGCCATAGCTGAGGCAAAGGAAAGGGCAGCAGAAAAGCAGGAAGAACTGTTGGACAAGTGGCTTGACCACATAAAACAGGAACTTGACAATTGCAAGTTTCCACCTAAGGGATATGTATCACTTCAGAGTGAGTATTCCATCACTCAGAGGTAGTGCTACTAGAAAATTCTGGTGGTGGCAGAGATGCATCAAGAGAGTGCAGACTGCAGTGCTGTGATGGATTGCACAGCAAATGTGTTGAATGAGGAAGGTTTACAAAGGTTACTTATATCAACCCAGCAGTCAAGTATTGCACTGTGTGTTCAATATGCTGTGCACAAGTAAGTAAGCAAGTATGATTTGGTGCAGTTACTGATCTTCTGAAGGACATTGAGAATCAGAATGCAACTAGGTTTCAAGGAAAGATTGCAGGTGGATGCAAAAGAATTGGAATGTGGCTTTGCTGAAATGGTTTCCAAATTGTGATGTAAGCATCAAAATTCTTCCAACATGTGGAGAAAATGACACTCAATTTTATGTTCCCTTGCATGTACTAACAGAAAGTGAGTAATCAATGGCATGGCCATGCTGGATTTGCTGACTAGGATCATTCACACTCTTGATGTCATGGCATGTGTAGCTGGATGTGTGCTCAATGGCCTCACTTGCACTCTTGATGTTGGTGGCATAACAGGTTGTGAGTGATTTCATGGCATGTTTAGCTGGATGTCTGCTCAATGGCCTCACTTGCACTCTTGATGTTGGTGGCATGACAGTGGGTGAGTGATTTCATGGCATGTTTAGCTGGATGTCTGCTCAATGGCCTCACTTGCACTCTTGATGTTGGTGGCATGACAGAGGGTGAGTGATTTCATGGCATGTTTAGCTGGATGTCTGCTCAATGGCCTCACTTGCACTCTTGATGTTGGTGGCATGACAGGAGGTGAGTGATTTCATGGCATGTTTAGCTGGATGTCTGCTCAATGGCCTCACTTGCACTCTTGATGTTGGTGGCATGACAGTATGTGAGTGATTTCATGGCATGTTTGGCTGGATGTCTGCTCAATGGCCTCACTTGCACTCTTGATGTTGGTGGCATGACAGGAGGTGAGTGATTTCATGGCATGTTTAGCTGGATGTCTGCTCAATGGCCTCACTTGCACTCTTGATGTTGGTGGCATGACAGCTTGTGAGTGATTTCATGGCATGTTTAGCTGGATGTCTGCTCAATGGCCTCACTTGCACTCTTGATGTTGGTGGCATGACAGGAGGTGAGTGATTTCATGGCATGTTTAGCTGGATGTCTGCTTCAATGGCCTCACTTGCACTCTTTGATGTTGGTGGCATGACAGGCTGTGAGTGATTTCATGGCATGTTTAGCTGGATGTCTGCTCAATGGCCTCACTTGCACTCTTGATGTTGGTGGCATGACAGGCTGTGAGTTATTTCATGGCATTTTTAGCTGGATGTCTGCTCAATGGCCTCACTTGCACTCTTGATGTTGGTGGCATGACAGTGGGTGAGTGATTTCATGGCATGTTTAGCTGGATGTCTGCTCAATGGCCTCACTTGCACTCTTGATGTTGGTGGCATGACAGGAGGTGAGTGATTTCATGGCATGTTTAGCTGGATGTCTGCTCAATGGCCTCACTTGCACTCTTGATGTTGGTGGCATGACAGCTTGTGAGTGATTTCATGGCATGTTTGGCTGGATGTCTGCTCATGGCCTCACTTGCACTCTTGATGTTGGTGGCATGACAGTGGGTGAGTGATTTCATGGCATGTTTGGCTGGATGTCTGCTCAATGGCCTCACTTGCACTCTTGATGTTGGTGGCATGACAGTGGGTGAGTGATTTCATGGCATGTTTAGCTGGATGTCTGCTCAATGGCCTCACTTGCACTCTTGATGTTGGTGGCATGACAGTGGGTGAGTGATTTCATGCATGTTTGGCTGGATGTCTGCTCAATGGCCTCCTTGTCACTCTTGATGTTGGTGGCATGACAGGAGGTGAGTGATTTCAGGTGGCATGTTTGCTGGATGTCTGCTCAATGGCCTCACTTGCACTCTTGATGTTGGTGGCATGACAGAGGGTGAGTGATTTCATGGCATGTTTGGCTGGATGTCTGCTCAATGGCCTCACTTTGCAGACTCTTGATGTTGGTGGCATGACAGGAGGGTTGAGTGATTTTCATGGGCATGTTTCGGCTGGATGTCCTGCTCAATGGCCTCACTTGCACTACTTGATGTTGGTGGCATGACAGGAGTGCTTGATTGATTCATGGCATGTTTAAGGCTAGATGTCTGCTAATGCCAATCACTATGCACTCTGATGTTGGTGGCATGACAGTAGTGAGTGATTTCATGGCATGTTTAGCTGGATGTCTGCTCAATGGCCTCACTTGCACTCTTGATGTTGGTGGCATGACAGTGTGAGTGATTTCATGGC